GGATCCCTGTAGTATTGCCAACTCTAGCTTGAGAAATTCCTGGAAATTTATGGGCAGTGCCTGGGAAGGAATGACTGTTTCTTCTAGACCCTGTGGCATACTCTGTGGTAGATCATAGAGTCTGCTCTTTGACACTGTCATGTGGATAAGTGTCATGTGGATAAGTCTATCAGTAGCTACTAGCCATTGTGACTGAGGGGAACCTCCACAGTCAGAGGCACTAAACCTCTGCATCCCAGAGCCAGGAGGCCACATCAGGGGAAGGCCTCGGCCTCTGTGCCCCGTTGTTGGCCATCCATAGGCACTGGTTGGCCACTGTGTGAGACAGGATGCTGGACTGGATGGACCCTCACGGGACTGATCCAGCAGGGCTCTTCTGATGTTCTTATGTCCTCCAGGGGAACTGATCTCTGTTATCTGGAGATCAGTTACAATTCCAGGAGGATCTCAGCCCCACCCCTGGAATTTGGCAACCCTAGATCCCTGCCAGCGAAGGCTGGGTCTCCCCAGTGTCAAAGATGTAAAATATTATTTATTTAGAGGACTGCAGTAATTAGTACTAGGGTTGCCAGCCTCCAGGTGACATTCACTGTCTTTTGGGGGGTCAGGAAAACAGTGTGGCTAGACACCCCCCACACGCCACAGTTCCAGTCTAAACCAGGCCCCCACATGCTTGGAAAACACGTTCCCTCTCACATGGCGTCTGACTGTCTCAGTAAAAAGTCAGGCTGAGAGAACCTTGATGCTGTGCATTACAAATCGTAATGTGAAGTTGTGGCCCTAAGTGTGAGTAGAAAAAGAAAATCAACTCCTTTCGAAAGCCCCTGTGGCACAGACACCTCTGAGTGACATTGGGAGGCAAAATGAGATGGGAACAGTCTCAGTGGCAGGGAGTTCCTCAAGCTAAGGATAACAGCTGGGAAAAAGCCCTATCAGGGAGCCCAGCCAGTTTTGTGTGAGTGAGAGCCAGTTTGGTGTAGTATTAGTACTCAGATCAATCAGCTAAAAGCAGCAGTCCCACAGGCAGCCACAGACCTCAGGGTCAACCTACACGTTACAATTTGTAGCGTCTAATGTCCCAGGTTCCTCCCACCCGACTCTTTATTGAATCTATTTATTCTTTTCATTTATACCCATCCCATCTCCCCAGTGGGGACCCAAACTGGCTTGCATCGTTCTCCTCGCCTCCGCTTTATCCTCTCGGCGACCCAGTGAGGTGGGTTAGGCTGAGAATGTGTGCCTGGCCCAAGGTCACCCACCCAGCTACCTTCCATGGCAGAGCGGGGATTGAAACCTGGGTCTCCCAGGTCATAGTCTGATGCTCTAACCACTACGCTACACTGGCTCTCCAGTCGGGCGTCAGGGATGAGGGAACCCATTTCCCAAGTGTGTGGGTCCCTGATTTCAGATTGGGACCAGGGCAGGAACGCACAGGAACGGAGTGTCTGGTGATAGCACAGGCTCCCAGAGCAAGTCATCTCAGACATCAGGTAGGGTCATACAGGTTGCAATGGCCTTTGAGGTGGTCTGCCCTTTCCATAATCTTGCCTCTGACTTTTGGCCCTAACGTCTGGGGATGGAGTATTAGCAGGATGTGGAAGAAAAGCCAGGTAAAAGGCAGAATTTTAGTAGGTTGTGGAAACAGACTGTAAGCATTTTTTTAGTCAACTGTATGGGAACATACAGGAGCTGCGGTGGCTCAAGTGGTTAAGACGCTGAACTGCAGGCTGTGGAAGTTCAGTAGTTCAGCAGTTCGAGACCCGGGTGCCGCATGATGGAGTGAGCTTAGGCTATGAAGTTCCTGCTGGGCTTTTTCTACCAAAAAAGCCCTGATTGGAACCATGGGGCAAGGGGGGGGGGACTCAGCCATCCTCCCCACACTGTTTTCTGTACCTGAAACACCCATGTGCAGCTGCTGGCATGACCTTGGCGTCTTCGGACAGCGCTGGCTCTTTGGCTTGGAAACGGAGATGAGCACCGCAACCCTAGAGTCGGACTCGACTGGCTTTCGAGCAAGGGAACCTTTACCTTTATGGGAACATATGAAGCTGCCTTATAATGAATCTGACTCTGGGTCCATCAAAGTCGATGTTGTCTGCTTTGGTGGGCAACGGCTCTGTTCCGGGTGGAGGTCTTTCACATGACCTGACCCTTTTAGCTGGACATGCCGGGGGGGTTGAACCTGGGACTTTCTGCATGCCAAGCAGAGGATCTACCACTGAGCCACAGCCCCTTCCCTAACAGTGAGATGATAGACTGTGGCTACCATGAGATAGTAGTTACCACGGCTTTCTTTATCCAGCAGAGAATCTCAGGAATAGCAAACCGGCTTGGCCTGCTTTTCCAGAACCGGGTGAAAAGCCCTGGATCCAAAATCCACAGAACCCCGAGGGAAGGAACGGAAGCAGACATCCCGACAGAGGTGAGAGGATCCTGTTTAAAGCGACCAGCAAATATTTCAAGAACAAAAGAATTTCATTGCTTCGTGTCAGGGGCTTCCTGAGCCCACCACACAGTGATAACCAGTGAGCTCCTTTAGTTTCTTGCAAGATGAGCTGAGGAAAAATCTAGAAGAAGAACATTCCTTCAAGTAACAACTGACTCGTGGCAGCCACATCCGTGGGGTGTTCCAGGCAGGAGACAAACAGAGGTGGTTTGCCATTGCCTTCCTTTGCATAGCAACCCTGGACTCCGTGGTGGTCTTCCATCCAAGGACTAACCAGAGCTGACTCTGCTTAGTTTCCAAGTCCTGGCTTTTAACTGGGCTAAAATCTGATCTAACAAGAAAGCAAGCAAATAAATAACAATATATATCCGGTAGAAATGTGATCTTGACGCGTTCTGTGCTTTGCTTGTTCTGTAGTCATGTTAGAATATCAGCAGTGTAGCCATTCCCGTTGCCCGTAACAAAAAACCTCAGTCCCCAAGCAAAGAGAGAAAAAAGATTTTGTATTACATATCACAGTATTCACCAGACTTCTTTTAAATAAACATAGGAAGGAAAATGTTCAGCTGTCGACAGATGAACGCTGAAGAGAAGCCTGGAATGTCCTCATTCTAGCAATACTGTTCCATTTATATCATCTTTACTTGTTATGATCTTAGGTCATCCAAGATTGACACACGGAGAGAGTCATTGTCACATCAATGTTCAATAAAACTTCACAGCTGTATAATGCTCTGATTTCAGTAGTGCAGACACGATTAATTAAAAGTCTTAACCCGCTACCCGCTTGTTGAGCATACGGAGGCGCAAAATTTGGTCACCTTAAAGGTGATTTTGTTAGAACGATTTAAGAGGAGAGGGGACATGTGAAATTCATCTGCCTGGAAAATTGGACAAGATTGGAGTTATGTATGGAGACTTAATGGCAATAGAGTAACATGTGATTGACTGTTTTAACTATGTCCATTTGGCGGCAGCAGACATGTTGAGAGTAACGGATACCCACATATCTCCCTTCCAAAAAAGCTGATGACGGTAACCCATTAAAGTGGGCTAAGGAGAAGGCTCTTTTCGGGATTTAGGGAACTCTATAACATAGAGATAGTCTGCCAGAGTAAAGTTTTTACCATGATTCCCTGCCACTGGATAAAACTGTGCTCACACTTTGTTTACTTGAAGGGCTATAGAGAGCCAGTTTGGTGTAGTGGTTAAGTGCGCGGACTCTAATCTGGGAGAACTGGGTTTGATTCCCCACTCCTTCACTTGCACCTGGCTGGATGACCTTGGGCAAGCCGTAGCTCTGATAAGAGCTGTTCTTGAAAAAGAGCAGTTTCTGTCAGAGCTCTCTCAGCCCCATCTACCTCACAGACATCAGGTAGGGTCTGTTGTGGGGAGGAGAAGGGAACGGGATTGTAAGCCGCTCTGAGACTCCTTTGGGTAGTGAAGGGCGGGGTATAAATCCAATCTCTTCTTCCTCTTCTTCTTCATACGTTCTTTCAGAGCTCTCTCATGAGCAGTTCTCGAGAGAGCTCTCTCAGCCCCATCTACCTCACAGACATCAGGTAGGGTCTGTTGTGGGGAGGAGAAGGGAAAGGGATTGTAAGCCGCTCTGAGACTCCTTCAGGTAGTGAAGGGCAGGGTATAAATCCAATCTCCTCCTCCTGTATCCCAGACTCCATTTATATAAAGAGTTTTTGAAAAAAGGAATGTTTTGTATCAAACTGGTCCCTTTTGTTTTATATTGCAATTGTACTTTGAGCTGCGGTGGCTCAAGTGGTTAAGATGCTGAGCTACAGGCTGTGGAAGGTCAGTAGTTCAGCAGTTCGAGACCCGGGTGCCGCATGATGGAGTGAGCTCCCATCTCTAGTTCCAGCTCCTGCCAACCTAGCAGTTCGAAAGCAAGAAATTGCCAGTAGATAAATAGGTACCACTTCAGTGGGAAGGTGACAGCGTCATGCCAGCCACATGACCACGGAAACGTCTTCGGACAGCGCTGGCTCTTCGGCTTTGAAACGGAGATGAGCACCGCAACCCTAGAGTCGGATTCGACTGGCTTTCGAGCAAGGGAACCTTGACCTTGACTTGACTTCCAAAACAAACTGTGATGTAATTTCGTGGTTATGTAGTTTGTACCTCTATATATCGTTTGATTTTTTTAAAAAAAAATGGAAGGAGGGGTGTATGGGAAAAACAGATGGTGTCCAACGTCTAAGTACAGAAATAATGTTGGAAATTTCCTCTTTCCTCTGGCAGGAGACAGGGAAGTGAGCGAGATGGCGGATGAAAAGCCTGACGTAGATCGTTCCGAGAGTGAGGAACCGCATGAGAGGCCAATGGGAAAGGCCACAGAAGGCATTCCCCTGCATCCCAAAATGCAAGACACTTTGGAGAGCCAGTGCGGATCAAAGAGTGAACCAGGAAGCTGCCTGAGTGATGGGGAAGCGAATAAATCTTGCCAAGGAAACGACAGGGACCTTGACAGGAACGCAGCTCAGCCGAGGCCTCTGGGGAAGAAGAAGCAGAAGATGTGCGCAGAGTGTGGGAAAAGCTTCAGCCAGAGCTCTCGCCTCATCAGGCATCAGAGGATCCACACTGGCGAGAAACCGTACAAGTGTTCAGACTGCGGAAAGAGTTTCTGCCAGCGATCTGGGCTCATGGTTCACCGGCGAACACACACGGGTGAGAGGCCTTACCGATGCTCCCACTGTGAGAAGAGCTTCAGCTTGAACTCCAACCTCATTGCACACGAGAGGACTCACACGGGCGAGAAGCCGTTCAAATGCTCGCACTGCGGGAAGGGTTTCAGTCAGCGGTCAGGTCTCCTTGCTCACGAAGGGACACACCGGGAAGAGAAGCCATACAAATGCACGGACTGTGGGAAAAGTTTCTGTCGCAGTTCAGATCTCATCGTCCATGTGACGACCCACACGGGGGAGAAGCCTTATAAATGTTCCCGCTGTGGGAAGAGTTTTAGTCGGAGGCCAGACCTCATTGTGCATGAGAGGACCCACACAGGAGAGAAACCATATAAATGTCCCGACTGTGGGAAAAGTTTTAGTCAGAGGTCGGGCCTCATAGCGCACGAACGAACCCATGTAGAGGAGAAACCATACAAATGCGGGATTTGTGATAAGAACTTTAGCCATAGCTCACATCTCGCCGTACATGAGACAACGCATGTGGAAGAGAAACCTTTTAAATGCCTGGATTGTGGGAAAAGCTTTGGCCGGAAGCCAGACCTTGTAGCGCACCAAAGAAACCACACCGGGGAGAAACCGTACGAATGCTCGGACTGTGGGAAATGCTTCAGCCAGAGGCCGAGCCTGAGTGCACACGAAAGGACCCACATGGGGGAGAAGCTGTATCCATGTTCTGATTGCGGGAAGAGCTTCCGCAACAGCTCCAATCTCAAATCCCACGAGAGAACCCATATCGGAGACAAACCGTACAAGTGCTCAGTCTGTGAGAAGAGTTTCAAATGGAGCTCCAACCTCATTGCCCATGAAAGAACCCACACAGGCGAGAAACCCTACAGGTGCCTGGACTGTGGGAAAAGCTTCAAGTGGAGTTCAGACCTTAGCAGACACCAGAGAACCCACATGGGGGAGAACTCTTGAAGGGCCTGAACATAAAGCATTATAAAGTGCTTTCACACAGTGTCTTAGAAAACACGGATGTATTGGGGGGGGGGATTAACTTGTTTGTATGAGTATCACTGTATGTCATGCACAGAGGTGCCATTTTGAATTAGCTTTGTGGCTATCAAATTTAAAGAAGAGCCTTCAGTTTGGGTTGTTTATTTCAAATTGAGACATGAATTTTAGCAGCTTCTGACCATGTGTTCCACTTCCCCTTTCCTCCTTGGAGTCCTCACTCCTCCGAACCACTCCCTCTTCCTAAATTTGCCAATTCCTTGGTCCGATTCCTTCAGGATTCTGCTCCCTCCTTTCCTAGACCTGCTTCTTTCAGACTTCCCTTTCCTACATCATTCTGCCTAGTCTTGTTGTTTTGACGGACCTGAGCGGCTTGTTCAAAGGCACCAAACCTTGCTTAAACCCACCCCTCTGTGACATCAGAGCAGCCTGGCCAGTCGTTGGCATAGGCCACCTGACAAAATGCAGTCATGCATTTCAACGTAGATGATTCAAGAGTGTGTCCTGTTTCTCTAATGGCAGGATATGATATCATGGTAGACACTTGCGCTGAAGAGGCATTCCACTTTTGGGAGGAAGAATGGACCTTCTCTTGTGGGCAAGAGAAAGGGGGAGGCCCTTGTATAGTTTATGAACACACCTCATATAAAAACTTACTTTCTTTTCCAAATTGTTCCCCAGTTAAGGGACTCCTTTTTACTTGACTCAACTGATTAATCAATTGCATCAGAAACTAAAGAGCTGGTTTGATGGTGGGAAGATAATTCCTTTTGGGGGAACGACCAACTTCTGGGCATGAGCATTTGTATATCTTTGTATCAGGAAATGTTCAAATATCATTCCATGTTGCTTCACAAACTTTCCCTCCTGTAAAAGGTAAAGGTTCCCTTGCTCGAAAGCCAGTCGAATCCGACTCTAGGGTTGCGGTGCTCATCTCCATTTCAAAGCCGAAGAGCCAGCGCTGTCCGAAGACGTTTCCGTGGTCATGTGGCCGGCATGACTAAACAACAAGGTGCACGGAACGCTGTTCCCTCTTGTATGGTTTCTCAAATCCTCCCTCCCTCCCTCCCCCCCCTCTCTCTCTCTTTCTTTCTTTCTTCTCATCAGAACAGATGCTGCTGCAGTCATAAATGTACCGTTGGGTCCATGTGGATAAATGCTGTTGAGCTGTGTGAGTGTGCTGTTTGGTGTTCTGCGCACAACAATCTCCTCAAGTCTCTAGTCCAGTGATGGCGAACCTTTTAGAGACCGAGTGCCCAAACTGCGACCCAAAACCCACTTATTTATCGCAAAGTGCCAACACAGCAATTTAACCTGAATACTGAGGTTTTACTTTAGAAAAAACAACTCATACATTAACTTAAGATGATCCAAACAAAGTAAGGAAAGCAATCCCAAATGCTTTCATTTACTTAAAATTATTTGGCAGAGAATTCGACACCTTAATGATGGTCTGGGCCTGGCTGGGGCGATAGCACGCATGCCCACAGAGAAGGCTCTGAGTGCCACCTCTGGCACCCGTGCCAGTGCCACAGGTTCGCCACCACTGCTCTAGTCCATACGGCTCAGAGAGCAGTGTTGATCACAAGCCAGGACTGGCAAAACTTTCCAAGCCGGAGTGTTACACCCTTGATGCGTGGAGGGTGCTGGAAAGGCTTGTCTCTAATGGCTGTTGTTCATCAGTGGATCCAGGTATGACGGACCCCTGCTTCTTCTTCACAGTGAAGCAGATTTTCCTGCCAAAACGCTGTTCCCCACTCTGACTGAGCAGCCTTTTAGTGGTGTATTTTAATTACAGAATTATAACTTTCTGCGTGTCCCACCCTGTGATAGAGAAGTTATTTGGCTTTTGCCTATGCCAGAGATTATTTTGTAACTCAGCAGGAGCCCTCTTATAAATCCCTTTTCGAAATGGCACTTGACAAGACTGACAAGACTTTAAAAAAACAGAACGGCTTCTGCCCATCAGGGACATCATTTTTTACTTTCTTTTTAAATGTTTGCTTTTCTTCCCCCTCTTCACCCCCCCTTGCTTCTTTTCCTCCTTTTCATGTTCTGCTTGCAAAAAAATATGAGATTACCTGCAATCCATCGTATTGCTCTGTTTACTGGATATCGCATTCTGTTAATTATATTGATTTACATTGCAGAACTGTGAGTCCGTGTGGTGTTGTGGTTAATAGTGTTGGACCAGGATGTGGGAGACCCGGGTTCGAATCCCCACTCGTACCATGGAAGCCTACTGGGTGACCTTAGGCCGGGTGTACTCTCTCAGCCTAACCTACCTCACAGGGTTGTTGTGAGGATCAAATGGAGGGGAGGAGAATTATGTAAGGCACTTTGGGTCCCCATTGGGGACAAAGGTAGAATATAAATGAATTAAATAAAATAATCTGCCTTGAGTCTCAGTGAGAAAGGCAAACCATAAATAACATAAATAAATAAATAAATCCCTGGATTTGACATAATAAAGATACACAAGTGAACTAGGAATAAAGTTGTTTTTATTATCTTTAAAACATATCCTTACTAAAGCATCCACTGAGAAAAGAAGAAAATAGCTCCCTAGGTGGAGATTTTGAGATCCATCATACAAATGTAAGCCCTTGGTTAACCTACCTTCAGAGTTATGGCAGGTCATAGTGAACGAACTTTTGCAACGCATCCTGGGAATCTTAGAAATGCCTCATCAAGTAAATCCAGCCCTTTTTAAGCCTGATTCATAAGTTACAGTGGACACAAGTACAAACTGTGCACAGTACGTGCTTGATTTTTTAAAATACACAAGCTTTGAGAAATTCGCACATGACATTAAATATATGTACAGCTGAACACGTGATATAAACCACATTTTCATCCAAGTACTGGTTTCTGGTTTCAGTTGCAAAATGGATGCACGTTGGCTTTCTTAAACAGATGTTGTATGTACATACATGCAGAATGGACGTGCGATCACTGTAACATGGGAACTGGGCTTTTCTCTCCAATAGTAGCCAAATGAGACTGGAAGCTCGCAAGCGGGTGTGAAGGGCTATCCTTTGTTTGAACACAACATTTGCTCAGCAGAGGCATGCTGCGTCTGAATATGGAAGTTCCACCTATCATTGATGGCCCTACCGTCCATGAATGGGTTCAATCAGTTGGAAAACTCTCCTAAGTGAATGGCTTTCATATCCAGGGGCAGAGAGTTCCCTAAGTTCAGTATCTGTAATGTAAAGAATGTCTCCCTTTTGTCTGTCCTAGTTAAGCAATTCCGCCTTGAATTCTAGAGTTTTGAAAGAACTATTCCAGAAAATGGCTGTAGAAATGACAATGATATATCAGTTTGCAGGGCTGTTTTTGTAGAAAAGCCCAGCAGGAACTCATTAGCATAATAGGCCACACCCAACAGCAGGAACTCATTAGCATAATAGGCCACACCCAACAGCAGGAACTCATTAGCATATTAGGCCACACCCCTGACAGCACAGCTCATTGGCTTATTAGGCCACACCCCCATGTTACCAGAAGTGTGGTCATCCAGCCGCACCCACCTTTTGCTTCTTATTCTTTTTAACTTGTTTGTTGTCAAAACCCAGGGCTTTTTTTGTAGCAGGAACTCCTTTGCATGTTAGGCCACACACCCCTAATGTAGCCAATCCTAATGAGTTTCTGCTGTTGGGTGTGGCCTATTATGCTAATGAGTTCCTGTTGGGCGTGGCCAACTCAGGAGCCAGCCGGAACTCCGTTCCTGTATGTTCCTGCCCAAAAATACCCCTGTCGGTTTGAAAAAAGTAGATGTGTTTATCTTATGCAGCAAGAGAATGGAAATGGCCTTTGAATAAAGGCAAACATTTATCTCAACACAGCATCACTTTTGGGGGGATGGGTGTGTGTATGTGTGTGTGTTAAGTTTTCTGGCATTTTGCTATTTTGCCCTTTCCCAATTACACGAAAAGTTACTGTTTTTTAAAACCCCATAAGGACTTCATAACCAATGAACTTCTTAGCCAACAGCCCATCCTACCCAGCATTGGGAAGGTTGTTCCATAACTGCGGGAAGGGCTGTGGCTCAGTGGTACAGCATTTGCTTGGCATGCAAAAGGTCCCAGGTTCAGTCCTCGGCATCTCCAGTAAGGATCAGCTAAAGAATAGCTGTAGCAAGAACCAAAGCAGTACCGACGGCACGCCTAGGTTGCTTTTCCGTTTCTTAGGGCCGCTTTTCTTAGCGATGGAGCCCACCCAGCTCTGGTAAGATTCAAAATGACCTGAAGTCTACAAGTATATTCCAAATAGCTAGATTCTTGAGCTCATGCTATCCACTGTGTGTTTTCTATTTGAAACTCTTTCTGCATCACAAGCTGTGACTACATCATTCTGAAGAGAGACTTGTACTTTCAAGGACTATCAGGTCACTTATTCAACTGGTGTAGATATAATGTATAGTAAAGGTAAAGGTTTCCCTCACTCGAAAGCCAGTCGAATCCGACTCTAGGGTTGCGGTGCTCCTCTCCGTTTCAAAGCCGAAGAGCCAGTGCTATCTGAAGACATTTCCGTGGTCATGTGGTTGGCATGACTACACGCCGAGGCACACGGAACGCTGTTACCTTCCCACCGAAGAGGTCCCTATTTATCTACTTGCAATTTCTTGCTTTCGAACTGCTAGGTTGGCAGGAGCTGGAACCAGAGACAGGAGCTCACTCCGTCATGCGGCACTCAGGTCTCGAACTGCTGAACTACCGACCTTCCAGCCTTCAGTTCAGCATCTTAACCACAGAGCCACTGCAGCTCTTAGATATAATTTTTGCATGGCAGCAAAACCATTTCTTATGTGTAAATTGTAAGTAGAACTGTATAAGAAGACGGAAGTCTCGAGTGTGATTTGTACAGCACGACAGATTATTCTGGTTATTTCTTTGCACAACTGTATTTGCAGTATTTCCATTTTTGTGTGGTTGCTGACCACCTGGAGGCTGGCAACCGTGCTGAGAACCCAGCCCGCCCCTTTATTTGCATGGCCTCCTCTGGAGTTCAGCTGATTGGTCCTGCCCAGGGGTCATTTCATAGAAAAAGAGGTGCAGGAGCTCATTAGCATAACAATTGCATATGCCACACCCACGGACATCACCAGAAGTGTGTCAGAAGGCAACACCCACCACTCAGGCTCCACTGGACTCTTTTGGATTGCTAGCTATGGGTGTGTGTGTACATAGATCTGCCCTCGCAGCAGAGGGAGAGCTTGTACCTGAATAAACCTTGGCCTTAAAGGTGCCACTGGACTGTTTTGGATTGCTATCTGGGGGTGGGGGTGGGGCTCTGCAACTTACCTGGCTGCTTCTTGCTCCTTGTGGCCCGGGGCTGCTGGTAGCAGGGGGCGGGACTTGTTGCATGTGCCCACCCCCTGGGCTCTTTACTGCTGGAGCTCCGCTCCTGTGCACTCCTGCAGGAAATGAGCCCTGGTCCTGCTACAGCGTGATGGAATGATGGAAAGCTTTTATACACATACTAGCCAGATATCTGAGCTTCGCTACGGTATTTAAATTCCGTAAATCCAGTTATAATACTGATGATGTGAAGTTTGAAATGTAACATTTGTTGTAGGGATTCTAATGGAGAAAATTGTAGTGTGACATACATAACTGTTTTTTTTTTCCTCTACTGAAGGACCTCTCTGTAGACCACTCCTAGAAAGGTCCTTTACTATCACCCCATGAACATTCATAAACTTAATCGCGATGCTAGCTGTTATGAGAAATGTCTATTGGGTAGTCTTGCTGATTCCTGTGACTGTCCTCAACTGTCTGCAGTCTTTTTTTTTACCTCAGAACATTGAGATCCACAGCTGAGCAATCAGAGGGAGGTGAGTGCAAGGAGGCAGGTTTTACCTCAGAACTCTGAACTACACAGTTCACCAATGGGGGGCGGGGGGCAAGGAGGCAGCAGCCTGCTAGGCACATGGAAAACAATTGGGGGAACACATTTTGCCCTTTTTTACCCCCTTAGGGCTCGTGTTTCTCAGAAATCTCTTCATAGTGGTGCGTGATGTTATGGGAGGAATGCACTACCCTTATTTTGGGTTTCTTGGTGCAGAGGTTTGGCCTTGGCATTGCATTTTTTTTTTGGGGGGGGGTGCAGGGCATACCCCCTCCTTTTTAAAAAAAAAACAAAAATGCTTCTCATTTATGTTACATTTAAGAAGTGGGGCATAACTACATATTCAAAACAATTAGCAATCAGATATTAAGCAAGTTCATATGAACCAATTTTCTAGAACCCACATTGTGAGAAGTTAAATAACCCAATACAAGAAACCACTTTTCTACAAATTTGGGGTATATTTCCATAGGGGGTGGGAGTGTGGCTAAAGCCACTTGGGAGGCCAGGCCAGCAGCATCGCTAAGTTGATCCTGCTGGGGCAGCCTCCCTGATGGATTAAAGTACCCTGGCCCTGCTCCTACATCAGACAGACAGGGGGTTGCGTTTAAAGACATCAGGGAGGCTGGGCCAGCAGCAGCACTAAGGCAATCCTGCTGAGCAAGCCTTACCAATGGTTTTAAGGACTCTGCACCCCTTCCAACCCTTGACAGGCGGTTGTCTGTCAGGTGTAGGAGGGGTAGCATGTCTGAAGGCATCGGGGAGGCTGGGCCAGCAGGATTGCTAAGGCAATGCTGCTTCGGCAGCCTCCCTGATCACTTTCAACACTCTGCCCTGCTCCTGACAGACAACTGCCTGTCAGGTGGAGGAAGGGTGCGTGGGAGTGTGTCTAAAGCCATTGGGGAGGCTGGCCCAGCAGCACTGCTAAGGTTTTTCTGCTCCGGTGGCCTCCCTGATGGATTAAAGTACTGGCCCTGCTCCTACACCTGACAGACACCCACCTGTCTGGTGTTGGGGGGAGTGTGTTTAAAGGTCTCGGAGAGGCTGGGCCAGCAGCAGTGCTAAGGGAATGCTGCTGAGCAAGTCTCCCTGATGGCTGTAAGCATCCCACCCCCTCTCCCACACTTGACAGGCAGCTGCCTGTCCAGTGTAGGAGGGGGAGGGGTATTGCAAGCCATTGTGGAGGCTGGCCAGGCAGGATTGCTAAGGTGTTACTGCTGGGGCGTGCTCCCTGATGGCTTTTAGCACCCTGCACCTGCTGCTGCACCTGACAGCCACCTGTCTAGTGTAGGAGGTGGGGGGAGCATGTTTGAAGCCATTGGCAAAAAATCTGGTCGTCCAGTTTATACCTAACTCTTTAAATATCAAATTGCAAAATTTTAAACTTTATGCACAATGGTACCTAACACTGCAACAACTATCGCATATAAAACTATTATCAGATCCAAGATGTTGGAAAGGTTGTGGTAATCTAAGTTCCTATAAACACTGTTGGTGGGAATGTCCCACAATTGTTAATTTTTGGTCTAAAATACTGCTACAGATAGAGAAAATCTTAAATTGTTCTATTCCATTCACCCCTGAATCTGTTATTTTAAACTACTGGCCTAATCTTAACTTCTCCAGGAATAATGCTGAATTAATATCGTTGTTCTTAATTGCTGCAAAAATGTTGCTCGCCCAGAACTGGAAATCTACTAAAATACCTTCTATAGAACAATGGCATTTGAAAATTTGGGACCTAGCAGCAATGGACAAACTAGCACTTCAGATTTCCATAGCAGAAACACCTTCTAAAAGCAACAATTTTTTGGAAAAATTGTTTCCTTTTTTTCAACATGTTTCAAACTCTTCTAACAAAAATTGTTCTTTACCTTAAAATATGTAAATTTCATATTTTACTGATTGTATTTGAGTATTTCACATATGTGTTATGTATTGTAAAGGTACTTCTCAATTGTTTAATTATCTGCTGCTGTTAATAATATTGCATTGTTTATTGTTATTGTTGTTAAAAAATAAAAAAAAATTAAGTAATGTGTGAAGCCATCGGGGGAGTCTGGGCCAGCAGCATTGCTGCACTTCAGAGGTGGTTGGCCATTCCTGATTTCCTCAACTGTCATTAGCTCTCTGCAGGCTCCTGCAACTGGTTTTTTTTACCTCAGAACACTGAGCTCTGCAGCTGACCAATCAGAGAGCGGGGGATGCAAGGAGGCAGCAGGCTGGCAGCCACATAGGAAGCAATGGGGGAGCACATTTTACCCCTTTTGACCCCCTTAGGGGTCGAATTTCTAAAAATCCCTTCTGAGTGATCATCTATGCCATGGTAGGAATGCTCTTCCTGAATTTCGTATTTCTAGGTCCAGGGCTTTGGCCTGGGCGTTGATTTTACGGTGAGGGGAACTTCTTTTATCTCTCCCTTATATATAATTGAATAGGCCGTGTTGCCCAGCTGCCACTCAAGGCTACTGCCCTGCCATGGGCTGGGAGGTGGGAGGTGAGTGCTGTGTCTGAGGGCGCGCTGGCAATGCGCCCCACGCCGTGGCCCGATTTCCCTCCCCCACCCGCCCCACTTCACTAACCCGCCCAGAAACCCGGACAGATGGAGGAGGCTTTCTTACGCCCCCCCGCGCCACTTCTCTTGCCCACCTGGGAAGCCAGATGGACGGGAGGATCTTCTGCGGCCCCTCCTGCTCCCCCCCTTCTTCCTTCCTCTCTGTCTCTCTTCCTTTCTTTCCCCAGCTTTCTTTCCCCACCCACCCACTCACCCACCCTACCTGTCTAGGGGCCCATTGTCTCCGTCCACAATGGGGTTTGCTCCCTAGTATATATATAAATGCAAAAGAAGACGACTTAGCTCCACCTTCTGCCAAAAGACAGTTTTGGGCCCCCTGGGTTCTAGGTCCCTCTAACTACCATCTCCAGTGGAAACTAATCTGTACCGTACCTGGCTATGGAGCTAGCATGAGCACTGATATCTAAATATGAAACCTCCATGTACAGAAGGCGTATACCTCTGAACATATGCTCTGGGGGGGGGGGAATTAAGGAAAACAGAACCCACTGCTTCATATCCTGCTTTTGAGATTCCAGAACTGTCTAGGAGACCACTGTGGATCACAGAACGTGAGATTTGATGAAACGATCTTCTGCTCCAGAAAGATAGGTATTGCTCACTTTTTTAGCTAGGGGTCCCCAACGTGGTGCTCATGAGTGCCGTGGCTCCCACTGACACCTTTTCTGGTGCCCACCAAGTGTTTTTAGAAAGTGGGCGGGGCCAGGTAGGACTTTTTGCCTAGCAAAGCTCCTGATTGGCCATTGGGAGAACTGATCAGCTGTGTAGATTTTTTAAAATGTTGCCTTGGCAGTAGTTGCCACCACAGCACAAGGATCTTTACTGTGTTACTGGTCTTCAATGTATGACTGAAGGTAAGCTTGTGGCTGTCATTTTATGGCTGGCACCGCCTTCTCCAATAGCTGTTTTGTGGCAGCCATTTTGGGGGCATGCCCACCATGCTGCGTCAGAATTCCAAATGTGCCTGCAAGCTCAAAAAGGTTGGGGACCCCTGAACTAGATCGTGACATGGGCCGAATTTTGGGTTCTGCACACACCAGAGCACTCACACAACTTACCTCTGTGTGTGTGCTGAACGACAGCCACCACACATTCAAGTGGTTGCGTGAATAGTCCCCCAGGATTAGGGATGCCAGAATACCACAAAAAAGATTTATATGGGTTTTGAAGAGATTTCTAGGAAACACCTTTCTACCCACTTCCTCAGTCAATGCTAACTGCAGACCATGTGGTAAAATTGCTCTGGGACAGACTCCAGGGAGAGGAGGGAACGTTCACATGCTCAAATGCTCCCTCCTCACCACAAAAAAGTCTCTGCACATAGAAAGGTACCATTTCAGGATATAAACTTTTCTCTTTGTCGTCTAGATTTCCATGTGCAAGGAGATTTTTAAAAAATATGTAGTGAAATATTGAATTATGCAATCCCCACTCAACTGTCTGAAAGCGATACAATCTAAGAACAGTTTTGCCATGAGATATGCATTCTGCAGATGGGTTCTGCTCCACTGACAGCTATCAATGAAGGTTTTACCCATGCCAAAGCACAGTGAGAATCTTTCCCCCTTCCTAGGAACTTTCTGATATTTAATGATATTTGACCACAACCTGTTTCTATTACAGAGGGTTTAAAAAAAAAAAGAGTTATCGCCTATGCAGATTAACTTTTTTCAAATGTAAAACCGGTTGTGTTCAAGAAGGCAAACTTGTCTCCACTCGCTGAGCTTGCACAGGACTCCCCTCTTGTTTGGAGTCACTTAGGTTTAAGAAGATCAGATAGCCCACAGTAGCTTTTCCAACAGTGTCGATTTTTATATGGCTTTTCCGATGTGAAGTAAGGCCTGCCCGCTGACTGAATCTTTTCCCACACTCGGCGCATTTGTACGGTTTCTCCCCTGTGTGGATCCTCACGTGGGTCATGAGGTTCCCCTTCTGACTGAACGTCTTCCCACAGTCCGAGCACTTGTAGGGGTTCTCCCCTGAGTGGATCCTCTTGTGGGCTATGAGGTTCCACTTGCGATTGAAACTCCTCCCGCAGTCCGAGCATTTGTACGGGGTCTCCCCCTTGTGGATCCGCTTGTGCCCCGTCAAGTACCGTTTCTGATTGAAGCTCTTCCCACACTCGGAACACTTGAAGCGCCTGTCCCCCATGTGGCTTCTCTCGTGGGCAATGAGGCTGGAACTCTGAGGGAAGATTTCCCCACAGTGTGAGGACCTGAGGGGCTTCTTGTCCGCGGGGACCGTTTCTTGTTTAAGAAGGTCTCCACTTGGTCTGAAGCTTCCTTCACCACTGTTAGCGCTCATTTTTAGCCCCTCACAGTTGTGCCTTTTGGTTTCTTTCTCGTGAAAGTCACCTTCCCAAGAGGGAAGAGCTTCAGCTATCCTGCTTTCTGTGTCCTTCGTCTGCTTTGCCGCTGCCCCTTGCTGCCCCAAGGCCATCATTCCTTCTTCATAATGTTGGAAAACTAAGCCTATTCTCATGGACGCATCGTGTGGTTCCACTTGATCAGAAGCCTCCTGACGGAAGGAATCTCCCAGCGGCCCATTGCCTGATGAAAAGGGGGGGGGGATCACGACAAGGAGTAGGAAGAGGAGGAGAAGAAGAAGAAGAAAAGAAGAGATTGGATTTATACCCCGCCCTTCACTTGGAGTCTAAGAGCGGCTTACAAACTCCTTTCCCTTCCCCTCCCCACAACAGACACCCTGTGAGGTGGGTGGGGCTGAGTGAACTCTGACACAAACGGCTCTTTTTCAAGGACAGCTGTGCCAGAACTTGTGACTGACCCAAGGTCACATCAGCAGGTGCAAGTGGAGGAGTGGGGAATCAAACCCGGTTCTCCCAGATTAGAGTCCACACACTTAACCACTACACCAAAGAAGAAGAGATTGGATTTATACCCTTCCCTTCACTTGGAGTCTCAGAGAGGCTTACAAACTCCTTTCCCTTCCCCTCCCCACAACAGACACCCTGTGAGGCGGGTGGGTCTGAGAGAGCTCTGACACAAACTGCTCTTTTTCAAGGACAGCTGTGCCAGAGCTTGCGACTGACCCAAGGTCACATCAGCAGGTGCAAGTGGAAGAGTGGGGAATCAAACCCGGTTCTCCCAGATTAGAGTCCGCACACTTAACCACTACACCAAAGAAGAAGAGATTGGATTTATACCCTTCCCTTCACTTGGAGTCTCAGAGAGGCTTACAAACTCCTTTCCCTTCCCCTCCCCACAACAGACACCCTGTGAGGCGGGTGGGTCTGAGAGAGCTCTGACACAAACTGCTCTTTTTCAAGGACAGCTGTGCCAGAGCTTGCGACTGACCCAAGGTCACATCAGCAGGTGCAAGTGGAGGAGTGGGGAATCAAACCCGGTTCTCCCAGATTAGAGTCCCCGCACTTAACCACTACACCAAACTGGTGTAAGGAGAGCAGGAGGAGGAGGAGAATGGATTTATACCCCGCCCTTCACTTAGAGTCTCAGAGCGGCTTACCATCTCCTTTCCCTTCCTCTCCCCACAACAGACACCCCGTGAGGTAGGTGGGGCTGAGAGAGTTGTGACAGAACTGCTCTCGAGAGAACAGCTCTGAGAGAACTTGTGACTGACCCACTGTCACTCCAGCAGGTCAAAGCCGGGATGCAAGTCCAAACAGGCTTCAGGCATCTGAAGAAGTGAGCCATGACTCAGGAAAGCTCCTTAGCCTGCCACCAATCTTGTTAATCTTTAAGATGCAACTGGACTCTTGCTCTTTTCTGCTGCTACAGAGAGACTAACATGGCTACCCACCTTGATCAGGCTTCAGGCCTATAGGAGTTTATGAAGGTTTGGAAGAAGAAGAGGGACATTTTTCCTGGAGGCTAGGTAACGTCTCTTATAAATGGACCTGCTCTGCACAAGAAAGCCTTACCCAGAAGGCTTCCTTCTTTGCCCAACTCCTGCTTGGCTGCTCTGCAAAGCTGCCGGTTCCAAGTGTCTGACGGAACCTGGCCCGCCTCGGCGGAATTCACAGCCACCTCCGCAAAAGGCACAGGTACCTGAAGGGGGAAATCAGGAAAAAGAAAAACACATTTCAGGGAATGGCCGCAATACAGTGGCTACTGTCACGTTCCTTTGCCTGAGGCAAAAGTCATTTGAGGAATTTACTGCCACAGGATGTAGTGACGGCTACAAATCGGGATGGCTTTAAAAGAGGACTAGATAAATTCATGGGTGACAGGGCCTACCTAATAGTGGCTACTAGCCACGAAGCTAACTGGAACTTCCATGTTCAGAGGCAAGGGACCTATGAATACCAGCTGCTGGAGGTAGGGAGGCATAAAGACGTAATATTTCAAAGCCAGGGGCTACAGTTGCCAACCCTCAGGTGGAGCCCGGAGATTCAGCAGAATTAAACAGATCTCAGGACTACAGAGATCAGTTCCCCTGGAGAAAATTGCTACTTTGAAGGGAAACCCTGTGGCACTATACCCTGCTGTGGCCCCTCCCCTCCTCAAACTCTGCCCTCCCCAGGCTCCACCCCACAAACCTCCAGGAATTTCAAAACGCAGAGTTGGCAAACCTACAGGGGGGGGGGGGCAAAAACCTCCACCCCCATGCCATTTATGACTAATGTAGCATGTAAAATGGTACTGGTCACCACACCTTAAAAAGGATATTATAGCTTTGGAAAATGTGCAGAAAAGGGCAACTCGAATGATTAAAAGGTTGGAACACTTTCCCTATGAGGAAAGGTTAAGGCGCTTAGGGCTCTTTAGCTTGGAGAAACGACGACTGAGGGGTGACATGATCGAGGTTTATAAGATTATGCATGGGAAAGAGCAGGTAAAGAAAGAGGTACTTTTCTCCCTTTCTCATAATACAAGAACTCGTGGGCCCTCCATGAAACTGCAGAGTGGTCGGGTTAGAACGGATAAAAGGAAGTACTTCTTCACCCAAAGAGTGATTAAGACGTGGAATTCACTGCCACAGGCAGTGGTGGGTGCTACAAGCATGGACGGCTTCCAAAGGGAATTAGATAAGCATATGGAGCAGAGGTCCATCAGTGGCTATTAGCCACAAGGTATAGCTAGGGGCTCTGGGGCAAGTGATGCTCTGTCTTCTTGGTGCTGGGGGGGGGGGGTTCAACAGTGGGAGGGCTTCTAATGTCCTGGCCCCACTGGTGGACCTCCTGATGGCCCCTGGTATTTCTGGCCCCTGTGTGACACAGAGTGTTGGACTGGATGGGCCTTTGGCCTGATCCAACATTGGCATCTCTTATGTTCTTATGTTCTTACTCTTTGGTATATCTACTGAACTGAGACATTTAACTGCCTTGGTTCCTTACAAGCAACTCTGCAAGTATATCCAGTACCTGAGAAAGAATCACACACTTCTGCACCCTACGAACACAAGAGAAGCCATATTGGATCAGGCCAGTGGCCCATCCAGTCCAACACTGTGGGTGCAGTCAGACGGGCCGTTTAGTCCGCTTTTGGCCTGCCTCAGAAACGGATTTTATCTGTGCGATCACACAGTCAACATCTGCCTCCCGTCCCCAGCCATCGCTTTCCGGCTCAAAACTGCTTTAACCCAGAGTATTTTGATACCAGGTCTCCAAGTGGTGTTTTCCTGATTCTCCGGTTCCAGCCGCACTTTTCTGACGTCTGATTGCTCCTCCAGTGTCGAGCCACTTCCGGTTTGAATCCCCTTCCTGCTCGAAAGCTGCCCGAGGCTTCCGCTTTTTGCCCGCCATTGTTTTTAAAGTGTTGGCAGTGTGCGCATAGGCGGTGGTCTGCCACCGCGTTATTAAAAACAATGTTTAAACAGTGCCTAGTTTTAGCATTTAGATGAGTTTGGGATCTCACGGAGGCCATTTTCGGGGTAAACGTTTAAAGGGAAGTGTTCCTTTAGAGTTTAAAGGGAAGTGTTACAGCAGTCGGGTTGAAGTGGAAATCGCTGTTCTGCGCATGGGCGCAAATTTTAATTCTACAGATGGCCACCTGTGCGCATGGCCCAAACTGAGAGAGAGAAAAACAACGCTGACGCACGCTCCTGCGTGTGGACGGCGAGGAGCGATGTGGCTGCGCAGCGATCCGGAGCAAGGAGGTGAGTGTGATCGCGATTCTCCAGGTTAAAAAAAAACGCATCGGGGCCGGAGCAATTTAAACCGCTCCCAGCACGCCGTCTGACCGCACCCTCTGTGTCACACAGTAGCCAAAACCCAGGTGCCATCAGGAGGCCCACCAGTGGGGCCTATGCTACCTTGGCACATATATCTTTAAGTTTAGTCCTCTGGGAGGCCGAAACCTACCAATCGTTACAATTTCCATGTGGATATTCAGAAACATCTGAATGCACTAGGGTTCCCAAACACCAGGTGTGTCCTGTCGATCTCCCAAAATTATAGCTGACTTCCAGACTACAGAGATCATTTCTCTTGAAGAAAATGGCTGCTGTGGAGGGTCGAGTCTACTGCATTGTACCCTATTGAGCTCCCTCCCCTCCTCAAGCCCTGCCCTTCCCAGAATCCATCCCCAAATCTCCAGGCATTTCCCTGTTGGGATATTTGTGCGTTCTCTTCCTGTGGTGCCAGTTTTTCTTAAAAAAAAAATAAATGAAAGCATTTCCTGTCTGTTATGCATGCTAATTTCTAGTTAGAGATCCAATAGCCTTATCTAGATAGTTTTCCTGCTAGAGCAAGGTGACAGAATGCATAATTGGTTGGTGCTGGGATTCTCCAATTGAATAATCAATAGTTTGGGGATGAGACGAGGGAGAGAGCATCGGGCAGGGGTGGCCAAACTCTGGCTTGGGAGCCACATGCGGCTCTTTCACACATATTGTGCGGCTCCCGGCAGGGCAGCTGTGGAAGTGAAGGGGAGGCAGGCCTCTCTGATCAGTCGTCCCTTCCCCAGCCCGTGTTCCCCTCCCTGGGTAGGCTTGAGGTGGGGGGGAGCAGAGAAAGAAAGCGATTTTAAATGTGTTCTCAAACCCCCGCATTGGTTAGCTTGGAGAAGGCAATTGTCTCTTTAAATCCCTTCTCCAAGTCAAACCTGCTGGCATGGGGGTGGGGGTTGGAGAACACATTTGAAGTTGGTTTCTTTTCACCTCTCCCTCCCCCCCTCCCCATTTATTTGCTTTCTTTCAACCTCTCTCTCTTTCCTTCTTCCTTCTTTCCTCCCCCATCTATTTGCTTTCTTTCCACCTTTCTCTTTCTCTCTTCCTCCCTTTCTTTCTCTCTCCCTCCCCATCTATTTACTTCAATGTAAATCAAGTGCTGATTTATCACTTACCTAGCTGTCGACTCTAGCCCAGGGGTGGCCAAACTGTGGCTCGGGAGCCACATGCGGCTCTTTCACACATATTGTGTGGCTCTCGGCAGGGCAGCTGGGGAGGCGAAGGGGAGGCATGGTCGTTGTTTCCCCAGCCGGTGTTCCTCTCCCTGGGTAGGCTTGAGGTGAGGGGGAACAGAGGAAAAAACGCAACTGTAACTTTAAATGTGTTCTCAACCCCCCCTCCCATTGGTCGGCTCGGAGAAAGCATTTGTCCCTTTATATCCCTTCTCCAAGCCAAGCCAGCTGGCATGTGTGTGTGTGTGTGTGGGGGGGCCCTGGAGAACACATTTGAAGTTGCTTTCTTTCCACCTCTCCCTTTCCCCTTCCTCCCCATTGATTTACTTTCTTTCAACCCCTCTCTTTCCCCTTTCTTTCTTCCCTCCCCCATCTATTTGCTTTCTTTCCACCTTTCTCTCTCTCTTTTCCCCACCCTTCCTTCCTTCCTTTCTTTCTCTCTCCCTTTTTTCCTCCCCCTCCCCATCTATTTTTTCTTTGTTTTTCTCTCTCTCTCTCTTTCCTTCCACCTTTCATTCTTTCCACCTCTCTCTCTCTTAGACAAATAGATAGCATTGTACAAATAAATATCATTATCAATATCTGTTTTACCTCCTTTTGTTTTATTTTTGGTAGTCTGAGTTAATGTTAATAAAAAGCCAATTTGCATATTTCCCAATAAAACCATGTGTGCAATATTTGTTCACGTCTTGTGGCTCTCAAACATCTGACGTTTATTTTATGTGGCTCTTATGTGAAGCAAGTTTGGCCACCCCCTGGCAAAGGATTTCAGTTTACTGCTCTTTGTTTCTCTTCTTGAATTTTCCTTTGAGTCATAACTTAATTTCTTAAAGAAGCAACATATGGCTTAGAGCTAGTAAGGGCGACTTATTTTACTTTTGTTCTCCAAGTACCTTAGACAAGTACACATGTGTCTGGCTGCTTTAATATAACTTTGTTTTTTAATCTCAACACCTAACATTCCCAACCAGCAACCCAAGGACACACCCTCATGAGTCATGGACCTCTTGGGTTCTTCTGGGCAACCGGCTTTCTCTCACCTGCAGCCCCCATCTCTTGCTGTCCCGCCGGCCCACCAGGAAGTCCTCTGCCAGGGCCACAGCACGGGCACAGCTCTCCGGCCCGCTCTCCCGGACCCAGCTCTGCATCTCCAAGGGCAGGATGATCAGGAACTGCTCCAGGACGAGCAGCTCCAGGATCTGCTCTTTGGTGCGTCGCTCCGGCTTCAGCCACTGACGGCAAAGCTCCCGCAGCGTGTCGCAAACCTCCCGGGGCCCTTTGGCCTCCTGGTAGCAGAACTGCCGGAACTGCTGGCGCCGCATCTCCAGGCGGACGGTGTCCTCGCTCAGAATCTCTTCCTTGACTTTCGCGAAGGAGTCCAAGCTCCGGTACACCCTGCGGCCTTCTCCGCCGAGGCTCGGCAGGGGTTGGGCGGCCCAGCCTCCTCTCGACCACTGCGGGGCATTGACGACGCCTTTGAAGGAGGCCTGGAAATCCTTTGAGTCACTCCCCGACGCGGGCTGAGGCAGTTGTCCCGGGTCAGGGGCCTGCACGCTCCTGAGGAACTCCTGCCACTGGGCTTCCCAGTGCTGCTGGGGGACCTCGTCCGGCTCTCGTTTCACCTGGGGCGGGGGCCCTTTGCTCAGGAAGGTCCCGATGCTGCCCGCGTGCACCACCTGCGGCGGCCCTTTCTTGGCCTCTCCCTGCTTCCCTTCCCACAGCCCGGAGCCGGCTGGGGCCTGCTCCTCCATTTTCAGAGCTGGTGCCGTTCCCTCCTCTGTGTCCAGCCGTCCTGAGGGGAGGCCCCCCACGTCCAGGCAGCACTCTGATATTTCACCCAGCGCAAGGGGGCTTCTTTTGGAAGTCTTCTCATCCAGTACCGAAGGGTGGGCGACGAACTCTCAGTCAGCAAGAGGGGCTTGTTCTGATAGGGAGAGAGAAAGGAAAAACTGTGGAGACCAAATCATTAGAATCAGGGCTATTTTTGGGCGGGAACGCACAGGAACGGAGTTCCGGCTGGCTCCCGAGTTGGCCACGCCCAGCAGGAACACATAAGCATAATAGGCCACACCCAACAGCAGGAACTCATTAGGACTGGCTACATTAGGGATGTGTGGCCTAACATGCAAAGGAGTCCCTGCTACAAAAAAAGGCCCTGGGTTTTGACAATAAACAAAGTAAACAGAATAAGAAGCAAAAGTAAACAGAATAAGAAGCAAAAGTTGGGTGTGGCTGGATGATCACACTTCTGGTAACATGGGGGTGTGGCCTAATGTGCTAATGAGCTGTACTGTCAGGGTATGACCTAATATGCTAATGAGTTTGTGCTGTTGGGTGTGGCCTATTATGCTAATGAGTTTCTGCTGGGCTTTTTCTACAAAAAAAGCCCTGGGTAGAATGCCAGACTAGAGCCGGGGAGAGCTGGGTTCAAAACCCCACAGTGCCTGCACTGCAGCTAGGGTTGCCAACCTGGATGACATATCTTCCTAACATTGTGACCCTCAGTTTGCGTACTAACCTCCAGGTGGTGGCTAGAGATCGCCTGGGATTACAACTGATCTCCAGGCGATAGAGATCAATTCCCCTGGAGAAAATGGCTGCTTTGGAAGGCGGACTCTATGGCTACTGCCCTAACTGACGCTCAGTGAGTGGCCCTGTACCACTCACTCATTTAGAGTACCCTACCTCACAGGGTGGTTGTGAGGTTAAGGCAGAGGATCCCACCTTAAGCTCCACGGAGGAAAGGTGAGACAAAAATGTAATAAGGAAAAAATATGTGAAAGTATTATCACTTCTTCCTCTTCCTAAGTGGAAAAATAAAGGTATATGAGTATAAACTCGTTTAAATTAATTCATTACGTTGGGAGTAAAGAAAGACAGAATTGTTCAAAACTGACTATATAACACATGACACATATAAAACACATGTAACATATATAACACATTGACTCTCTAATGCATATAACTATTTAGCACATCCATTTACTGGATATATAAATACATCCATCTATAGATGTCACTCTTGTATTAGATCAAGATGGGTCACTGTGTTAGTCTGTCTGTAGTAGTAGAAAAGAGCAAGAGTCCAGGAGCACCTTAAAGACTAACCCAGAGGTGACGTCATCACACCGGGCACTTCGTCAAGGGATGCTCTAGTGTTTGGGCTTAAAACTCTATGGTACCATACACCTCAACAATGTGCCCGGCGTGATAACGTCACTTCCGGGTGACGTCATTGTGACGCGTGCGTGAGGCTCCTGAAGACACGGCCTCTCCCGTCCCCCCGGTTGCCAGATAGGGACCTGGCAACCCTACCCCACCCACTTTCTAAAAATGCTTGGCAAGTGCCAGGAAAGGTGTTGGCAGGTGCCATGGTGCCCCCAGGCTCCACGTTGGGGACCCCAGATCTAGAGGAGTTAAATTCCTTCCTGTGGAATGGATGCATCTATCCCAGTCTTTCTGCAGGATCAACGCATGTGCATGAACAATAATGCACCCTGCAGAACCACAGCCTGTCATTTCCCCACCATGTGGTTCCTGAGGTACATTTTAAACTAGGTTACCTACTGTAAGGCAATTAATTTTTTTTTTCTAGCACGACCTTCCCCCAGTGAACAAACAACGTCTTGGCTTTTAAATCAATGTAGGACAGGCCCCTAAGGAATAACTGAACACAGCCCACAGAAGGAAGGCCAGGAGCCTTAAGCAAAGCGCAACAAGAGGGGGGGGGGATATACGGTTCCTTGGTCTGAGAGCTGCGGTATGAAACTGGAGTCAGAAATCCATCTCTGTGTTTGTGAAATATCTGACAGTAAATATAATACACAATATAAACACAGCAGACTGTCTCTCTAATATATAAGAGTCCTTCCTAATCCTAAAAGAATTAATTTACTATTGGGGGGGGGGATTTAGCAGGTGAGATTATTGGTTCTTATCCAGGCAATTTACAGGCCAAAGTCCTGTTTTACTACTTCCCCACAAAAAGGTTCATAGATTCCTTTCAGGTAACCTGACAATACCATTCGGAGACAAACCACATGTGACATCTGTCACATGAAGGCCACAAGGGCTTGTAGGAACTCAATTCAGAAGCACCATAGGGGCTCAGTTTTGGTTGGGACTGTGGTGTGGGGAAGCAGGGGTTCCTGTCTCCCCCCACATGCTATTTCCGTAACCTAAAATGACCCCAGGGTACATCATAGAGTTTTTACCATAGAGTTTCAGGTGAATCCTAGAGTGTCACCCTGACATGGTGAAGTCACTTATGGATTCATGCCGAAAGTCAGGGCTATTTTTGGGCAGGACTGCACAGGAACGGAGTTTCGGCTGGCTCCCAAGTTGGCCACGCCCAGCAGGAACTCATTAGCATAATAGGCCGCACCCAACAGCAGGAGCTCATTAGGATTGGCTACATTAGGGGTGTGTGGCCTAACATGCAAAGGAGTTCCTGTTACAAAAAAGCCCTGGGTTTTGACAACAAACAAGGTAAACAGAATAACAAGCAAAAGGTGGGTATGGCTAGATGAGCACACTTCTGGTAACATGGGGGTGCGGCCTAATGTGCTAATGAGCTGTGCTGTCAGGGGTGTGGCCCAATATGCTAATGAGTTCCTGCTGTTGGGTGTGGCCTATTATGCTAATGAGTTCCTGCTGGGCTTTTTCTACAAAAAGAGCCCTGCCGAAAGTGAAGTCATTAAATGACACCGTTATTTATTTTTTTAAAGTCACAGCTGCACAAAACTGTACACAGCTAAGAGATGGCACAGTACAGTGTCTCAGAGTTTGTCCTGGGAAGTTCAAATCCCCATAATACTGGCCTCCTTGACAGGGACCTTGCAGAGCTTTACTACTACATTTCTGCATCTGTTAAAACAGTAACATCCAAATCTGTCTGGTGGGGAAGTAAGGAACTTTTAATGACCCATGAGAAATGAACAAATTAAAGCCCAAAGTATGTAACAACAGAGGAGGAGGCCCATAGTATCTCTGTATGAGTTACTGTTCTGGCTTAGCCTTTTTCCAATCAGCCTCTATTGAGGGCAGGTCATTCGCTATGACTCTGCAACAGCCATGACCAAATGATGTCATCACTCCCACTACAGGTATTCTCAGAGGAGGGTATTTGGTACATCTCTGTGTGAGTCTTTACAATCAGACTGGCAAGTCCAGATGAAGGGCTCACGCAGAATACACTGGGGGACCAACTCTTCAGAGAACCACCAATCCTTCCTACTGCACAAACTCATAGCACACTTTCTTTACACTTTCCATTCCCAAAACATAAAAAGGACAGGATATTTTCTTTGTCCAAAGTTCTGGAAATAACTTTGTTCAATTATTGCCCAGTTATTTATTTTTTAAAGTTGGCAACCCATTAGCAGAACCTCTGGCATAAGGTTTCCGGGTCCCCCCTGGCCACCAGAAGCCGAGGGGTGGAGGGTTACCAGATCCAGATTGGGGAACTCCTGGGGACATTTGGGGATGGAGCCTGGGGAGGACAGGGACCTCAGTGGGGCACAATGCCATAGAGTCCACCCTCCAAAACATCCCTTTTCTCCAAGGAAACTTATCTCCGTAGTCTGAAGATGAGCTGTAGAAAAGAGCAAGAGTCCAATAGCACTTTAAAGACTAACAAAATCTGTGGCAGCGTATGACCTTTTGTGAGTCACTGCTCACTTCTTTAGATACAGCCAGAATGTGAGTCTATCTGTCCTTATATCTTGGCGAGTGGAGCAATTTCAGCAGGCAAATGACAATAGCAGGCAAATGACAATAGCAGGCGTGATTGGATTAGGTGTGATATGCAGAGGAGTAGTAGTAGGTATGGGGAAATCAGCATTGGTAATGAGACAGGAAACCTAGTTCTGGATTCAGTCCAGGACGATGCATTGTAAGGATATATGAAACTCACATTCTAGTTGTATCTGAAGTAATATTAGTCTTTAAGGTGCTACTGGACTCTTGCTCTTTTCTACTGCTCTGGACTAACACGGCTACCCATCTTGATCTATCTCCATGGCGATGAGCTGTAATTCTGGGCGATCCCCAGGTCCCTCCTGGAGGCTGGCATCTCTACTTTGGCAACAAAAGATTCCTGTCTAAAAAGAAATCTCTCCTGGCTTAAACTCCGGGTACCAAGTGGATCGCTCAGCTTTGTTAACGTTATACAGAAAGTTCAAGGTACAATCCAGACTACTGCTGTCCTTTCCATTCACTGGGTTGCAAAAGACAGTTTTGCAAAAACGGCCAAATTTGGGCTCAGGTCCACCCCTACCCCTTTCGCTCTCCTTCTGATCAAGCAAGTCTGGCTGGGCCACTCCGCTTTCTTTTGCATCCCCCCCGAACCTCAACTTTGGGTACCCACCACCACACACTCACCTCTTGCTGCAAGCTTAGCAACGCAAAAAGAAATGCATCGCCCGAGAAAGGGTCTGCTCCAAACTCAGACTGTCTCTCCCACCAGATTGGGGGAAATGCTATTTGTACAGATTTTAAAAGACACTTTCCCACCAGGGCGTCCTTAGGAGGAGGGAGAGAGGAAGTGGTTCCATACCTCCGGACTCTTTTTCCTGACATTTCCAGGCCTTGCTAGGAACAGCTCAACTCGGTAGGTTTAACCAGTTCAGCTTACTCCGGCTCTGTTTGTTTGATTCTGAAGAGGGGCGCTCCTCGATCTCTAAAATTCCCCAGCGGGACAAGCAGTTCCCAGATCTCCAAAACACTCCCTCCCTCGAATTAAAGTGGCAGTTTTACTCATCACTTAGTGACAACTTGGGCATTTCCCTAGCGGCAACTAGTTTTGTTAAGTTTATTTTCAGTTTGCAGAATGTTAGGTGGCGCTCCCTTGGTCCCCGCCCCAATTAAAAAGCCTTATTTTTATTTTATAAAACCACAGGATGTGAAATCCCTACAGAGCATGCTGGACTTGGGAGTTCTGAGTAATCTTCTGGCAAAATGACCACAGCCGGGGATCATTTCCTGCAGGAGCGCACAGGAGTGGAGCTCAGGCAGTAAAGAGCCCAGGGGGCGGGAACATGCAACAAGCCCCACCCCCTGCTCCCAGCAGCCCTCAGTCAGAGCAAGAAGCAGCCAGGTAAGTTGCAGAGCCCAAGGGTGTAGACTTTCCAGTGCGGGGGGGGGCTGGG